CCACAAATTCAGCTTCCATAGTCGACGCAGCTATGACAGACTGCTTCGCACTTTTCCATGATATTGCTCCTCCGGCTAGTAGGAACAAATATCCAAAAGTGGATTTTCTTGTATCAATCTATCCGGCATAATCCGAATTTGAATAACCAACCACCTCTAGACAATCAGACCTCCTGTATGTAAGCATTTGGTCTTTTGTCCCTTGCAGGTATCTCAATACTTTCTTTGCGTCCTTCCAGTGATCTAATCTTGGATTGCTTTGGTGTCGACCAAACATTCCAATAGCAAAGCTGATGTCTGGCCTCGTACAAGTCTGCGCATACATCAAACTTCCCACAATTGATGCATATGAAATTTCATTCATTTGCTTGCATTCCAATTAATTCTGTGGATATTGCATGTGACTGAATTTGTCCCCCTTCTGAATTGGAACGACGCTAAAAGAATATTTTTTCTTTCTGAATCTCTCCAAAACTTTGTTGATATATGTCTTTTGATACAATCCTAACAATCCTTGTGATCTATCACGGAATATTTCTATTCCGATCACATAGGATGCCTCACCCATATTCTTCATTTCAAAGTTTTTAGACAGAAACTTCTTGGTATCACATAATAAACCAAGATCATTCGTTGCAAGCAAGATATCATCAACATACAGGATCAGAAAAATAAAATTGCTCCCATTGACTTTCAAATACACACATCTATCGATGGTGTTTTCACTAAATCCAAAAGAAGTTATGGCATCATGAAACTTGAGATACCGTTGGCAGGAAGCTTGTTGAAGCGCTCATATATTGATTTCTTAAGTTTACACACCATATTTTCCTTTTCTGTAATGGAGAATCCTTTAGATTGCTCCATATAAACGTCTTCATCCAAATTTCTATTTAAAAAGGCTGTTTTCACATCTATTTGGTGTAAGTCTAAATCATAATGAGCCACCAGAACCATGATAATTCTAAACGAATCTTTCTTAAAGACTGGTGAAAAAATGTATCCTTATAATCAACACCATTTTTCTGAGTAAAACCCTTGGCAACTAGTCTGGCCTTGTATCTTTCGATGTTTCCGTTTGAGTCGCTTTTGGTCTTGAAGACCCATCTACAGCCGACTCGTTTACAACTTTCAGACAACTCGATAAGATCCCAAACATCATTATGTTTCATAGATTTTAACTCATCATTCATGGCATCTAACCACTTATTAGAGTTATTACTTTTCATGGCTTGTGAAAATGAAGTTGGATCGTCATTGAGTCTTAAATGATATTTAGACTCTTGTAGGTATACCACATAATCATTGGAAATAGTAGGACGTCTTTTAAAATCAAATATAATCAAATTAATTCACTGGACCTTGAACTTTATGATTTTCACAAAATCAATGAAATATGTATATGTTATATACTGACCTTGGTTGGAAACCATTCTCGTATACAAAACGATAAGTTGGATCTTCTGGTTAGGACGATGAGTTGGATTCTCTGGTTGGGACGATGAGTTGGATCCTCTAGTTTCTCTGACTTTTTATAGGCAGAGAGAGGAGATAATGATAAAAAGTGATTTTAAACCACTTTTAATTTGACTAGACCAAGTCTATTATTATTATTATTATTATTATTATTATTATTATTATTAATAAATTTATTATTAATTTCATTATATTTAAACCATTAATTAATAAGTGACACGAGGTCACATCTTACAATATACAACAATAATAAATAACAGAACATATCGCTATAGACTTTAAAATACTACTCCCTCCATTCCAACTAATTTGTCCATTTTAGTTTAGATACGAAATTTTAGGTATTGTTTAATTAGTAAGTAATTAAGAAATGTATTAGTAAAAATAATTATAATTTAATAAAAATAATTATAGATTAAAATTAAAATGACTATATAATTTAATTAACAAATTATATTTTATAAATTTTAAAATGTAATAAAAAAAAGTATAATTATATTTTTAGAAAATAAAAAACCAAATTATATGAAACATACGAAAATAAAAAGAGTAAAAAATTAAATGGGAGGGAAGAGTTATACATATTATTGTCACTCTAAAAAGGTTGTAAATTCTACTACCATCTTTAATGGAAGAACAAAATAAGTAATAATAATGATAATAATAATATAAATAATAATAACAACAACAAAAAATTAATAAATAAATAAATATTAACAATTTACTGTTTACATTTACATGGACATTACTACCTACATATTTTAAGTTAATCAGAGTGTAATTCATTTATAATTTTAAATTGAAATTAATATTATTTTACACTACACAAGTTACTATAAAATTATATTATTTTTATTTATAAAATATTATATCAAAATAACGTTAAAATAAAAATTCAAATAAATATTTATTTTAAATCAATTTCAAATCACTATCAAACAAATGCCGTTGTTAACTATGTTTTGTGTAGTTGTATCAATATTGCTATGTAGTAATAATATCTTATTTGTGAATTTGTTCACCTATCATTTTTTTATACGATTTTTAATATATATTTTTTTCAAAAATTAATATTTAATATTTTTAACAATTTTTGTTTAATATTTATTTGAAATCAATCTTAATTTTTTAATATTTTTACTCAATGAAGTATAAGAAAATATGAATGAGATATAATATATTATTAAAAATTAATTTATATATAATAAATAATAAAATAAACTATTTTAAATTATAAATATTATATGCGTGCCATGATAATATGACAATTAAAATTTAATTTGTTACTTTCTCCGTCTCAATTCAAAATACTCTTTTTACCATTTTTGTCCGTTACACTCAAACGTATTTTTTTTCTCTTTTTGATAAAAATAATTATACTACAATAATACAAAATATTTTTAATTTGTATTTAAATTACAAAAATACAACTACACATACAATTATTTTATACATAAAGTTAAAGACAAAAATGTAAAAATCTCTTATATACTCCAACTAACAAAGACTATAGTTTCAGGACGGAGAGAGTATTATTTATTTTATTTACTGTTTATTGAAATTAAATAAAAATAAATAAATATATTTATAATTTCAAAAATTTAGAAACGAAGATAGCAGTTTGGGGCATGTAGACACTGTTAAATAAAGACAGCCTCCGAGATTAAACGCATAATTGATGTAACTATAAGAAAGTTTAACACAAATTTAAAAAATCGAGAAATTTAACACAATTCGGTAAAATCACAGTTGGATGTTGTACACCTTTCCCTACTTTTAGGGTGTGTTTGTTTGGGGGATTGGATTTCCAATCCACTATTCATCCCATTTTTTTCTCCCAAAAACATCAAATCAAACACCTATTTTTTATTTTTTATATTATAGTAAAAATCAATTTTACATTCAAAACATTACATCAACACTTATTTATATCACATCATACAATTATTCAAATTCAAAATTTTTACTATTCAAATCTCAACTCAAAATCCAAAACTCCAAACAAACACACCTTAAATTATTTCGTTTCCTTTTAAATAGATATTTGTTACCATAAACATTTAGCTTACCTTAAATTTTTATATTCATTTATTATGGTAACTAAATATAACCAAGGTTGTGTTTGGTTGACAACTCAATCCAATTATTCTATTGTTTCTTGTTTTTCCAAATAAATCCGGGCAAATCCATTTCATATTTTTTTTGGTTCATTCCGTAATATGCAATATTTTTACAATTTATAATATATTACATAAATATTATTATTTTAATAGTTACATTATATAATATTGAATATTTTATTATTTTTTATTACACATTAATATATTATTAATATTTAAAAATTTACTTAGAAAAACAAATGCTACTATGCATTCGTATTGGACGGAGGGAGTGTTAGATATTCATTTTAAATATTCCCTTATTTATATTATTCTATTCGTTCAGATGATTATGTTAGTTTATATATATATATATATAGATCTGCTAAATTATCCATTAGTAAATTTATACATAATTTTCTATAATTAAAATTTTATTATATTTATTTTAATAAGTTATAATCAATTTTATTATAATTAAATATTGTGATTCAGTCTCTACATTATGACTTTATTTCATCTTAGCATATGATCCGTGGGTTTAAAATATTATTATTTTTTAATACTTTTTACATATCAAATAATTTGCAATATTTTATTTTTGATATGTCTTAAACATTTTACAATATTTTTAAAATAAAAAATAATTAATTAAAAATTTAATCTTTATCTTACACTTTATCTTATTACATCATCCAAATAAAATATATATATATATATATTTTCCATCACATCACCTAATTTTTAAATTATTCTACTTAATATATTTACTTAAAATCTGGTGTCCAAATCAAATGTTTGGGATAGAGGAAGTATTAGTTATCAATTAAAATGGCATAAATAGAGGAAGCACATTATACATATATTCTATTTAAATTTTTATTACTCACAAATGAAACTTATCTGTCATATCCCTATAACCAAACACACCATATAAGATTGGAAGAAATGATAATATTTCCATATATCATTGGATCGACTTGTCTTATTCTTACCAAACTACAGAGTCCAACCATTCCACAGCCATAATTAATTTAAGATGCATAATCAGACAGCACAGACCAAAGACATATATTTCTTACTCTGAGAATCTTTCGAATTATATAATATATATATATATATATTGTATTTGATGGCTTTACAGAGGAAGACATGGAGTTGTAATAATAAGACACAACATTGTGGGCTCTTCTGCCTGTAATTGTAATAATAAAATTCTATCATGTAGGGTAACGAATCTTTGAATTGGTGTGGTAGATGAACTTATGACTATAAGGTCGTATATTCAAAACTCTTGCCTGACATTTTCTCAGTTGAATCTGTTGTCTTGGAGATTTATTCAGTGCACACTCGAATTCGAATAGTAGCGATTCAGATTTCATTATATATATATATATATATATATATAATAAACTTCAAAAAAAGCCTTATCTTTTAGAATGGAAAATCCCATTTTACAGATAAGGAGAAACCCTTTGCGTAGTTTAACTTAGCTTCCCCCAGCCATTAATTCCTTCACATTTTTCTTACACACACACACTCTCTCTCTCACTCTATATATACATATATATATATATATGTTTGTCTGTGTGAGAGAGAGAAAGAGAAGAGAAAGATTTAGAGTAAGAGTGGAGTGGAGTTTTGAATTTGGAGTTAATTAATTAAGGATGAGAGTGGCGGTGGTGGGCGGCGGCGTGAGCGGACTGGTGGCGGCGTACGCGGCGGCGGAAGGCGGGGCGGAGGTAGTGGTGTTTGAGAAGGAGGAATACTTGGGAGGGCATGCCAAGACCGTTACCGTTGACGGCGCCACGTCATTGGATCTCGGCTTCATGGTCTTTAATCGGGTCAGTCTTACTTTTTAATTTTTCCACTTATTTTATTTTTTAATTTTAATTCATATGCAATTTTTTTTTTCTCTATTATTCTTTTAAATGTAATTTATGAAAAATATTACAGGAGAAATAAAGAAAAAGAATACTCTATCCCTCTGTTAAAAATAATTCATTTGAGATTAGAAAAAATTAAAAATAAAAAAAATAGTTGAATATATTTTTAAAAATTTAATTAGTAATTAAGGATGATAATGGAAAAGTGTAATAAATGTAATGGTAAATATAGTCAAGTGTTAAATGGATGACAATGGGTCAATGGTCAAGGGTGTGTTTGTTTTGTGTTTGGTTCAAGAAATATTTGTGATATGAAATATAGAGAATTGTGTATATAATATAAGTTAATGAGTGTACATAATATATTAATTTTTTAAAAAAATAAGTTGAAATTTTTTAGAAAAGAAACAAATTTTAAATGTTTAATTTTGTCAAAATTAATAATCTACCAAATTAATAGAAAGATAAAAAAAAAAAAATATGAGTAAATTTGTAGGACGAAGAAAATAGTAAAATTACCATATGAAAGACCACAATAAGATAAAGTATACATAGCAAGATGATATATACTCTCTCCCTTCATTATCAGTGTAGCTATTTTGTTATTTCAATTTGTTAACTTCAATAAATTCAATTTTCTTTATAGTAATAAAAAATACTCTTACATTTCACAAAATAGTACAAATAGTGTCATTATAAAAATAAATTATTTTAAAAGATAAAATACTAATATATTTAAATCAACTTACAAAAAAACAAATAATTATATTGCACCGGACAAAAATAGTATATCATATATATATATATATATACATTACTTTCATTATCCCATCTAAATAGTTAAAAAAAATTACAGTAGCTTAAAACAATAGTATTACATCAATAAATAAGTTTGTGCAAGAGAAAAATAATATTATTGAGTTTAGTAGAATCAGAATGAAGTGTGATATAATATTTTAATAAATAAAAATAAACATGATAGTAATTAGTTATTAAATTAGAACAATATATATATATATATTAAAAAAAAAACTTTTTAGTGGAACAATTCTTAATGGCAAATAAGATTATTCATGTGAGACAGAAGAATGAAAAAATATATATATATATATAAATTTGGGTAAACTGTTTTTCCAGTCCTTTGATTGGACCCCTTATCATTTTAGTCTCGTAATTAGAGCTTGTCGTAAACTAGTCCCATAAGTGAAATTTCGCTGTTTTAGTCCTCCGGCGTCGGAGACGTCCACGTAGCTCGCCAGAGGTGACGTATCCATCATGTCAGCGACACCTGGCGGACACGTGGATTTTTTTATTTTATTTTTTAATTTTTTTTTAAAACTTTTTTTTTTAATTTTATTTTCATTTTTTTATTTTTTTAATTTGGTCCAATTAAAAAAAATTTAAAAAAATAAAAAATAAAAATAAATCCACGTGTCCACCAGGTGTCCCGCTAGGTCCTCGAGCCACACGGGCGTCTCCGGCGCCGAAGGACTAAAACAGCGAAAACTTTTCACTTATGGTACTAGTTTGCGACAGGCTCCACTTACGGGACTAAAATGATAAGAGAATCCAGTTACGAGACTAAAAAAACAGCTTATCCTATAAATTTTAGTAATTTAAAAAATAAAAATAAATATGCAATGGAACAAAAATTATTTGTATACCATCTATGGAAGATGGAGGCAGAATATATTAGGTCACTTATTTATACACAATTTTGTATATACCAATTAAAATTAGATTTTATTTTAAAATTAATTACTTTGTACTCTCGCTTGTAAATATAATTAGATACTTCATTTTTAAATCAAATTAGGCGCTATTGATGATATTGTCCGTATCACAAAATATCACAAAATTTATTGACTATATATTTTATTGCCATTACAAAATATCTACCTAAAAGTCAAAGAATTCATTGTTTATTTGCTCATAGTTTTTTTCTTTTCAATATATTCTTAATATATATATATATTATCATCTAATAAAAATTAATATTCAATATAAAATATAATTTTTTATATTATTAACATTATTTTCTATGTTTTACGTAAAAATAAATAAATAAATTCTTCAAATCAAAATAATAAACAAACAAATCCTTGAAAGCTTTGGGTGTGTTTGGCTTGATTTTTAAATTTTGATTTAAATAATAATTTGATATAATATTTTAAAAAGTATATTTATTTTTATAAAAAGATCATTACAATTGTATATAAAGAAATAATAAAGAGAATATGAAGACATCGGTTATGTATGTTTTCAAAATTATTCTTGACACTATTTATCAATTATTATTTAATTGCTTTTATATAAAATAACTATTTTTTATTTAAAATATTTTATTAAAATTTTATTTTTATACAAAATACTATTTTTAATATTTATTTATATTTAAATGTTTATTAATTTTAAAATTTTCAAAAATTTTATAAAATATCTAAATAAATAATGAAGTAAAATCAAGGTTTAATGCGATGATTTAAGAGAAGAAAAGAACTTCTAAAAATATTTAAAATAATAAATGAAAAAATATAAAATTAAATATAATACTTCTTTTTTGTAAATATATTAATTTTAAACATATTTAAGAAATATAAATTAATTTAATTAAATTTATAACATTTTATACGTAAGATTTGTTCAAAACTTATTTATTTATATATTTTTAAATAAACAGATATTTTTTTATATACATTTAAAATTTCTTATTTTTATAAAAATAATTTATAGGAGTATTAATTATAAATAAATAAATATATTTTATTTTTTTGTATTATATAAAATTTTATTATTTACACATTAATATACACGATATATATTATTGAGATATACTTCCTCCGTTCCAAAACAATAGAGACATTTGGAATGGACACGAAAATTAATAAATAATAATATTATATTGATAATAGGTATAAAAGTATTTTTAAAAGACCAAAATGTTCATACTTTATGTAATTATTGTGAAAAAAGTGAGGATAATTTTGTAAAAAATGTGGTGGTAATGACAAAAAATGAAAATAAAACTATTATTTTGGAACGGATGAAAATGACAAAATGAGATTATTTTGAGATGAAGGGAGTAATTTTTAAAAACGAAAAAAAAAAAATAATTGAAAATATTTTTGAAAATTTAGTTAGTAATTAAAATAAAACAAATGTAATAAAAATAGTATAATTATAGTAAATAAGTATAGAATGAAAACTAATAATCAAATACTACATTTTAAATTATTTTTTACTATTTGTGCTTTGACAAAAAAGTATTATTTTTTACTATTTGTGCTTTGACAAAAATGCAAAAGCTTTGTGAACAAAGAAATTATTATTTTTATATATTAAAAAACAAAAAAGTGTTATAAATTGGACTAAGTATTTATTGTTAGAACAATTATTGGGCTGACTGAGGTAAATCAACATATAATACTATATATATATATATATATATACACATATATAAAGCATAGAACATATTTTTGACCGCACGTAAAAATACAAAATACACAAAACATATTTTAATAACATATAATATAGTTATAAATAGCACAATATATTATTGATTTCAATACAATAAATATATTTATATAACACAATACAATATATAAATTATACAATACATATTTTTATATAAAATAACTTTATATATTGTGATATATAGAAATATACACTGTCTATCCTGATTTGGGATGCAAATTTTAATCCAATTAGCACTTTAACAGAGCTATAATATTGAATTTAAATTCAGTACTGTGGTGAACAATATTATATTTGTTAACAAATAAGATACAATATTACTATTGACAGTGCTCTTAGTAGGAGCAATCTGAACAATTGCTCAGGGCCTCTATTTCAAGAAGGCGCGTATTTTTTAAATTATTAGATACATTACAATTTAATTTAGATTTTATCCCTTATTTTCTCAATCATTATCCGATCTAATTTTCATTTTAAAATTAAATTATAACCTAAATTTTCTAAAATATTTCTATCCTTCTAATTCGTAAATATTTTTAAAGTGCATTATTATTATTAGATATATTAGTTATTAAAAAAACTTAATTTAAATTTTATCTCATATTTTTCTCTACAACTATCCAATCTAATTTTAATTCTAATAAACTTTAACTAGAATTTTTCTAAAATTAGGAGGTGTATTCAATATGGATTTCATCGGACTCTCAAAATCTAGGTGTATTCAATCCAAATTTTAATTTTTTTAAAAAAATTTTGGTATATTCAATCAAGACTTTTAAAAGTCTTTTAAAATTTGGGTGTATTCAATTCAAAATTTAAAAAGTCTTTTAAAATTTGGGCGTATTGAACAATCCATGGACTTTAAAAATCCATGGATTTTGTTGGATTTTTTAATAAAATTGTTAACAAAACTACACTCTATAGAATCTCTTGTTATGAGGTGAGATTTCAATTGATTCTCAAAATTAGTAAAAAATACATAAAATTTTATTTATAGCATTAATAATTATTTATTATTTTATACAAATTTATTATTTTATTATAATAATATAATAACATAAGAAAATTTAAATGTTTAATATAAAATTACAAATATTTTAAAAAGTTTTATATATTTGAAATAATATTCAAAAAATATATATACATATAAAATAACAAATAAACTTGCTCAAATAGTTTGAATTAAAATTATCAGTTTTAATGTTTGGAAATGTCAAATCAAAATTAAATATTCCATAATTTTAATTTATATTTTCTTATTTCGATTTCAGTTCCGTCAGTTCAAAAACCGCCGATTATATTTGACAATGTTAATTTATGTTTATTCCTTTTTAATTATTTTATTTTAAATTTTAATTAATAAAAATTGTAATTTTAATGTGATTTTATTTATAAATATATATTTTTTTTATAAAAATCATATAAATAATAATAATAACAATTAAATAGATTGTTATAAAATAAAAATTAATTACGCTGAATATATGTAATATAATAAATTCGATCAAAATAATACTAACAAAAAATATAAATTTAAAAATAAAATTATTATTAAAATAAAATAAAAGTGAGAATAATAATAAATATATATTCTTTGAGAACTAATGTACTTTTAATATTTTTTTGTTAAATATTTGTAAATTTTTATATACATACAACTGTACTGCATATATTTAAAATTATATTAATCAATAAAAAATATTTAATTTACAAATTTATAAAGTCTAATGAAGTATAGAGAAATCAATAAATAATCCAATCAAACTTATCAAAATCCATATAAATCAATAAACATAATTAATTAAACATAGATTCTATAAAATTTATAAACTCACTCGAGTATACGGACTTTTGAAAACCTAAACAAATCCATTAAAATCCTAATTGAATACACCTATCTTAATCTCAAATCCAATTATAATTCTAATAAATTCTAATTAATTTTTTAAAAAAATTTATCATATATTCTTCACCTCCAGGCCCCACCATGGGCCAATTTTAAACAACTCAGATCATTGATAACTTATTTATGCCTTCTTTGGTGTGTTTGTTTGGGGATTTGGATTTTGAGTTAGAATTTGAATAGTAAAAATTTTGAATTTGAATAGTTGTATGATAGTGATATAAATAGGTGTTGATGTGATAGTTTTGAATGTAAAATTGATTTTTAGTATAATATAAAAAATAAAAAATAGGTGTTTGATTTGATGTTTCTGGAGGGAAAAATTGAATAAATAATGTAAATCCAATCAAATTCCCCAAACAAACACACCCTAATGTATTCGTTCCGTCCACATCACATATTCACTTTTTTTTTTTTTTTGGCTTGTACTATATAATTTTTTTTTAAAAAAAAATTAAAATATGATTATATATTTTAATTAAAATTTAAAATATAATTTATAATTTTAATTAAATTATTTATTTATTTTAATTTTAATTTATAATGATTTTTATTATATAATAATTACATACACTTGTAATTGCTTATTTATTATTTTTTATTATAAACATATTTAAATTAGTTTTATTAAATAATATTATAATTTTCAAAATAATTTTATAATTTTAATAATTATTAGTAAAAATCGTATAAAATTTTAAAATATTGAATGTATTGGTTTTGTATTTTAAATTTAAAATATTTTTAATATTAAATATAAATAATGAATTAGAATATAAAAGAATTAATATTTTATATTGAATTACTAATTTTATTTTTTTAAATGAATAATATATATTAATCACAAATAATGTCAGTATATATATATATATATATATTATGTTAGATACAATAGAACAACTCCATAAAAATTAATATTCCCTCAGCTATAAAATAAAAATGGGCTCATTTACTTACATATTTAATGTTGCCTGTAGTTTTTATTTTTTATTTTAATAGTAAAAAAATAATAAATATGGTATGATTATTTACTAAAAAAATATATTTTTTTTATCACAGAAAATAATGAACCTATTTTGTTTATTTTATTTATTTATTTATTTTTTATAATAGAGAGAGTAGATTGCAGTTATACAAACATTGTAGAGACGATTAGATTAATTGCTAACTAATAAAATGTCAAAAAAAATAAATTTATCATATTTAACTTGAGCTTGCTTATGTTTGGCTGTTGACATAATAAAATATTTAAAAAGTTCTTTGATTCAATAAATTTAATTTGATTTCATTTTTATGTACATACAACCTCTATTATTGGAGTTTGATTTTGATTTATTTATTATACCATTCTCATAATTATATATATATAATCAAAAAATCACATTCAAACGTTGAAATCAAACTAAATTGTTGGATGCAAATCCAAGTCCCACGTTGGAAACGGTGAAGAAAATTACACACTTTATAAGTCCCAAATAAACTTCGCTTTTTGGAGGATATCCAAAAATAAATCCGTGCGGACTCAGCCCAAAACCGTTGACGCATATATTTTACAAAATCCAAAACATTTATAATTATTTTTGTTGTTGCTGTTTATTTATTTATTTTCCTCTTAAAATCACTATTATTCCATATATGATTTCCCAAGCTTGTAGGGAGTCTAAAAATGATTGTAAGTATTAGCACATTATCATAACCTTGATTTCGTATATTAAATTTGATGTTAAATTAGTGTTAGTGTTGTAATATGGGACAGGTGACATATCCAAACATGATGGAATTGTTCGAAAGCCTCGGAGTAGAAATGGAGCTTTCAGATATGTCTTTTTCAGTAAGCTTAGACAACGGTAATGGCTACGAATGGGGCATCCGAAATGCCCTCTCGGGTTTGTTTGCGCAAAAGAAGAACATTCTTAATCCCTACTTCTTGAATATGATTCGAGAAATTATCACATTCAAATCTCATGTCCTAAGGTAATAATATACCTTTGAACAAACATGGAGGTCGATCTACCCTATTTGTCTCTCTCTCTCTCTATATATTCATATTTTAATATTAAATATATATAAAATATGTCAACTTTAAATATATTAAATATGACTGCAGATTTTGTACTCATGCGGCCAAGTCGGTATTATGTTTAAATAAGTTGCTTATTTGATATTTAAAATTTTTTTAAAAAAAATATTGATGCAATATTTATATGAAAATAAATATTTAATTTGATATTTTTAAAGAAAAATATATAATGAATAGTATTGAATGTGCTTGACTGTATATGTTTAGGATGTACTAATTTATGATATACCAAACACAGTTATCTCGAGGAGCTCGACAGCAATCCCGAGATTGGTCGCAGCGAAACGCTCGGAGACTTCATCCGAGCTCGCGGCTATTCCGAGTTATTTCAGAAGGCTTATCTTGTAAGAAATGATCATAGGATTTTGTAAAATTTTCGCGGAAGTTTTGAATCTTGATCATTTTAATTACTAGTGTTGTATATATTTTCCAGATTCCAGTATGTGGTTCGATATGGTCGTGCTCAAGCGAAGGAGTGCTCGGATTTTCAGCGTATTCTATACTTTCATTTTGTCGCAATCACCATTTATTACAGGTAACATCAATAGTACTTATGTTAAGACAATGTTGTACTAAGACAATGTGCTTAAACTAAAGATTTCACGGTCGAAACCGTGTGCAGCTATTCGATCGACCTCAATGGCTCACTGTGAAAAACCGATCAAAAACCTACGTCGATAGGGTGAGGATTTTTCCTACTTCTTTGCTACATCTTCGCGGACGAAAAAGTTAAAATTGAATATGTTAATGATCAATGACATATATATATATATATAAAATACGATTATACGACGAAAATTAAATACTCTGTGTAAATTTTATTGCATCGATAACAAATGCGCGTAGGTAAGAGAAGTGCTCGAGCGACGAGGTACCCAAATAAGATTGAGTTGCGAAGTGTTGCATGTTTCGGCGAATGAGGACAGTGAGTACCAAGTTGGATCGAGTTTTGACTAGACATTCGAAACTATGGATTATTACAATAGATGGAAATTTCTCCAATCATCTTTGGCAGGTTGTTTCGTAAGATGTAAGGATGGGTTCGAGGACGTGTTCGATGGCTGCATAATCGCTGCGCACGCTCCTGATGCTTTGAAAATGTTAGGGGACGAGGCGACGTTCGATGAACGAAGAATACTTGGTGCGTTTCGATATGCCTACAGGTTTGTTTTCTTCCCTTTCCTTGTCTTAAGTGTTCTTCAAAAGAATCGGCATTGCTAGTGAGCTTTGTCCTAATTCTTACAAAGATTCGACGATAGCCATTGAGTCTGAACATCTCTCTTTTCACACCGATCCATTGTTCTTTAACCATTCTTGGCAGTGATATTTACCTTCATCGCGACGAAAGTTTGATGCCCCGAAACCCGGCAGCGTGGAGCGCTTGGAACTTCCTCGGATCTGTAAACGACAAAGTTTGCGTAACGTATTGGCTCAACATACTACAGGTTGTATAAGTACTATGTGTCTGTTCATTGCAGCCTAAGATCTGTGTCCTAACATTTGCACCAAAACAGAACATTAGTGTTTCAGGGCATCCTTTTCTGGTGACACTAAATCCGCCGTCTACGCCGGATAAAACTCTGCTTAAGTGGTCGACTGGCCACCCGATCCCCTCTGTCGCCGCAACGAAGGCTTCCTCCGAGCTCCATCTCATTCAAGGAAAGAGGCGAATATGGTTTTGTGGAGCTTATCAAGGTACGGATCATAAATCACATGTTTACTTTAATGGATTATCGCATTGCGCTTATACTTTATCCGTGTAAAGACTAGTCCTTTCGACGAATGTAAACACGACACCGTTTTTATTTCAGGTTACGGCTTTCATGAAGATGGATTGAAGGTATTTGCAAGAACTTCTATTTGCTAGTTTCTTACATGTATGTAGTTATCGAACAAGATGTTCCATTTGTGTTTCACCTCGTACTTTGTCTGCACCGTACTGATTTTCGGACATTTTTCTTTCTTTCTTTCTTTCTTGGTTTCTTTCCTTTTTTTTTTCAATAAAATATGTTAGGAATAGTTGTAGTATTGATTAGCACTAATCACCTCGCTACTGATTAGTTCTAATAAACACATGAAAATAGAAAGGCAATACATAGTTTCAATTAATACCATATATAAATTGTGCTGACAATTTATACTTTACAATGTGTGCTATATGGACATGTCTATTGTACTAATATCAACGTTAGTATATCAGTATGTGCTATATGGGGGAATCGTATCAAATAAGTACATATAATATATACAAGCAAAACATGTTCTTATTACAGAGAACATATGCTATGTGCTATATGAACATGTCAATATATATATATATATGTTGTATAAGAGTATGTCATGTGCTAAAATCAACTGTTATGTGTGATGTATGTGATTATAGCATGTGCTGAATTTGTATTATATTCATATAAAAAATGTACTGCTGCCAAAAGTAATATGGTGTGCTGTAGTTGTCACGGGTATATAAACAATGATCATCATATACTATCGGGTTAAATATTGATTTGTATTATGTCAACATATGTCTTGTGCTATTATTTTATAATATGTCAATAATTCATATTTTATAATTTAAATTCAGCAGTGTAACCGCCTCCAATATGTTGCATATAGTCATGCAATATGCTGAATATATATATATATATGAAATGTTGATTTGGCGCGTGTCGAATACTAATCTTCTAGTCCTTAAATAGGCAGGTTTGCAAGCTGCAAACGGCATTCTACGAAGAAACTTGGCGCTCCGAAATAACCCTAAACACATGGTACCATCGTGGCTGGAAACCGGAGCTCGCCTACTAGTCACAAGGTTTCTCAAAAGTTTCATCGCCACCGGTTGCATCATGTGAGTTCCCGCAATTCTTGTTATTACAACATATTGTATTTGGCTTCGCAGAAGAGTGCCGGGGGCAGATTATTTATTGCATAAATATATAATACAGAGCTGATGTGGTGCAACAGTCTACTCGAAGATGGCGGCACCATCTTCACATTCCAAGGAGCGACAAAGAAGAGCCTCTTAAAAGTGTCTTTGAGGATTCACTCCCCACTCTTCTATTCCAAGGTAATGCTCGCATTGAATAACTTGAAATTCTCCAACCAAATAGATTTAAGACTAACTAGGTACTTTGTGTTTCGATTCTAGGTTGCAATGGAGGCGGATTTAGGCCTCGCCGACGCCTACATTAACGGGGATTTCTCCTTTGTCGATAAGAGCGAAGGTCTCCTCAATCTTTTCATGGTAAGAAAAGGACATCATGTGTTGTTTGTAAACTTTCTCGATATATATGACCATTTACTAAAGCTTTCACCTTACTTATCAACAATAATTCTTTATCAACAAATATGGGATGGGATCATCAGTCCCTTATACAAAGAGATATATATACATTATATGCAGATATAATATGTGATACGTAAATATATTATATATATACATACATTATATGTATTTATATATCATATATATATATATATATACACAATGTGTATTAGAGGGGGTGGGAAGGGGGCTGGTGATCCTATCCCATTAAATACTAATCTTCATTTAAAATGTTACCTCTTTTTTTGCTCCCTCAAGTGTTAAGACAAGGTTTTGCAGATATTTGTTGCCAACAGAGATTTGAAAACTTCTGCCTCAGACAATATGAAGCGGAAGAGGTAAGAACAAACTTGAGGCATTCTTCTGTATCTATGCAAATTTATACGTCTTTGCAAGAATGTAAGCTATGTCTTAAATAACGAACGAAGGGGTTGGTGGACGCCGTTGCTTCTAACATCTGCGGTCGCCTCAGCAAAGTATTTCTTCCAACATGTGTCGAGACAGAACACGCTCACTCAGGCGCGCCGCAACATCTCAAGACATTACGACCTAGTAACTCTTCCTTGATCGCTCGAATGCATTGTTGATGTTTTGAAAGCATACAAAAAAATAATAATAACCATAGCTCATTTTCATATATATGTACGTATTGTTTTCCAGAGCAACGAACTCTTCGCTTTGTTTTTAGACGAAACGATGACATACTCTAGCGCAATCTTTAAGGTAAAGAGTATCCTCTGCCTTTTAGCAACTCCTCTCTTTGTAATAACCTTACAACATAGTAAATAATTCATATTCTTTTATCTCTTCTGTCCAAAGGCTCGAGGCGAAGACTTGAAGATTGCACAGCTCCGAAAAACTTCTGTACTAATTGAAAAGGTGAGATATATATATATATATCTATGAGGATGGTTAGGGTGGTGATTTGGACTACTTAGTTACTTAGCATATAAAAAGGCAAATGCTTTTTGCTTTGAAACTATTTGCTTGTCATATATTGTCAGTTTATATTATATTGCAATTATATTATGTTAATATAAACCAAGTGTTGTCATTGTATGTGCTGTTTGTAACTAAATGCTGATCTGATCCAATCAACCCGATAATACTTATATAGCATCATTTCCCTATACAAGAGATCGATCATCATAATTTTATTACATTGCAGGCAAGAATTAGTAAACATCATCACATTTTGGAAATAGGATGTGGCTGGGGAACCTTGGCGATCGAAGTTGCTAAACGAACCGGCTGCGACTACACGGGCATCACCCTGTCCGAACAGCAGCTCGAATATGCTGAAAGAAAAGTAAAAGAAGCTGGCCTTCAGGTGAAAAAGAAAAACATACATATAGGCTCGATTTAAATGAGTTGAGCGCAATCTTTTTTTTTTTTTTTTTTTATCCTTTTTGTATTTACCATACGACCTGTGGTTTAGGATCGTGTAAAGTTCATTCTTTGCGACTATCGCCAGCTGCCCGGTGCCAAGAAATACGACAGGATCATATCGTGGTAAACTTCTTACACTGACATCCTAAGTTGTCCTGAAACTTCCGCAATCTGTTAGGCATTGTAATAACATTGTGTGCAGTGAGATGTTAGAAGCAGTGGGGCACGAATTCATGGAGAATTTTTTCGGTTGTTGCGAGTCTGTGTTAGCAGAAGACGGTCTGCTCGTTCTTCAGGTTAGTCCAGCAAGCAACAATTCAATCGAATATATATATATAGATATACACATATAGTTCTTACATCAAGTGTGTCAATCAATCCTTTTTATTACATTCTTATTTCTTCCTAATAGTGTAATTCGACGCTGTTTTGCTCCTCAGTTCATATCGATACCTGATCATAGGTACGACGAGTACAGGCAAAGTTCGGATTTTATTAAAGAATACATATTCCCGGGAGGTTGCCTTCCTTCGCTCAGCCGAGTGACATCTGCCATGGCTTCTTCATCGAGACTTTGGTACGTATATATACATATATATATCTGTAGAACTGCGATTTTGCGGAAAAAAACAACCAAACAACTTAACGATCATAATGTATGTGTGTCGATGCAGTGTGGTGCACCTTGAAGACATAGGAATTCATTACTATCCAACTCTCCGAATTTGGCGAGAAAATTTCCTCAAAAATCAACGGTAATACCGAATCAAGAAAATTGCATTCTTACACACGTTCCGCGTTTTGGTTTTGCATAAATCCCCCCATTACATTATCGTGCTTGGCTCGATTTTGCGTAAATAAATTGAATCAAGTTGATTCACCCCAATGAGCATGTCTTAACGATATATGTTGTGTTGTATTATATTTGCATAAATGCTAAGATGTTTGTACATATACTGCTAATATGTGATTGATATATATATTGTGATTATATATTATGTTCGTATGTTGTATGTTGTGTGAACTATTTCAATATGTATATCTATTCGAACCAATTGTGTCATTAACATCTTGTTCGAACATATCTGTGGTTACAGACAAATCCAGGACTTGGGATTCGATGAAAAGTTCATCAGGACATGGGAATACTATTTTGACTATTGTGCAGCAGGATTCAAAACATGTACTCTTGGAAATTATCAGGTAATGTTTTCTTATCCATTTCATCGTAATCTTATCTTCTCAGAAATCTTAGTCTCGCGGTGTCTCGATAGATTGTTTTCAGTCGACCGGGAAACGCGGAGATATTTGGCGATCCATACAAGCCCGTGCCGGCTGCTTATTGACATTCTATTCATGGGAAGTTTTGAAGTTAATGAGAGCTCTACTTCCTACTCAAATTCAAGAACACCAAAATTTCAATTTATTGTAATAAGATCGATCAAGAGTGTACTTGCACCTTTTGAGTTTGCAATCTTTTCGGCAAACAAAACCTGTTTGTAATGGCAAATCAAACTTCCAATAGAAGAGAAGCAAATAAAAGGTTTTCATAAAAAAGAATAAAAATTAAAGTTTTCATTATGTAAATACCAAAGCATGAATTAGTAACGGCATCCAATTTTTTTAAAAAAGAAGAAGAAAAACAAACAATCCTCGGCATAAATTTCTTCAAAACTGTTGGATCGAACATATGAATTTCTATCTAACATTTATTTTCACTTCAAAGACATTAAAATTAAAATTACAAAAATATTAAAATATATATTCTAAGGAATGAATACGATACGATGAAGTTCGTAGACCAGAGAGGAAATAGTATATTTTTAATTGCTCGCTAAAAATCATTCGTATCATTTCTCACATTCATTTTGTTTACTCTCTCTCTCTCAAAATAATCATAAATAAAAATGATACGATGTTATCTTGTTACCGCTATTACAAGGAACCGGATGCACCAAATGATCGGTTAGTTGAGAGTGACTTCTCGCCAGCCCTCCCGACCCATAACCATGATCCCCCAATGCCTGGGCTTTATCTACAAACAAAGAAAATACATTGCTCTCAAGCTTCAAGATCTTAGAGTATAACCAAAACTAATCGATAGAAGTTATTGATCAGTAGAAGAAAATTTTACCTCTCATGAAACCACGAGGAAGAACAAAGATTGAGTTTGTGCTCTATCACATTATTCTGCAATCGCAATAATCCCAATCTCGGTCGTCATCTGAGTCACTCGCTTCACTGCAAGTCGCGAGACACAAAAATTGCTCAATTAGGACGACAAGGATTTGTTGGCATGTGTAAACAAATAGAGAATACCATATATATATTGAACAAATTTTGTGCATGCCTACGCCGTTTTTCTAATAAATCGGAACTAACATATCTAACCAGCCATCAATCTATCCTCTTTCATTCTACAATTCCTATGTTGTCTTCATCAAATGAAAATATACATATATAGATCGAAAATAATCGAAGATAGTTACCTGGGCCAGAACTCCAAAATCTCGACAAGATCGGCGCCGTTGTCATCCGTCCACTTAACCGTCCTATTAGGTTTCTCAATCCTGCCTTCATCTGAGGGCAGCAACGCCTGCGACTCATTGTCGATATTCTCAATCGGGACATCCTTCGGGCACTCCGAGCTATTCTTACATTCGTTGACATTCCTGTCTCTGCCATTCATTTTCCTCTAAGAAAATCTCAAATTTTCAAAAAGGTTAGCCCCCACAATGGGCAGAGCCATTCAATCTCTGAATCCCTTTATTCAAATCAACGAATATCAATGGAAGATTCAACAACCAAATGGATCTGAACATGAAATAAAAGATCCCTTCATGTATCAACAAATCTGAAAACATATGTAAGGATTTAAGAAGAAAAAAAAAATCTAGATTTCACTTGTTAGAATAAATGAGGTAATAATATGAAATGCAGGTCGAAAATGACGAGGGATCAAGAAAGAGGACAAGTGTGTAAAATATTAGATAATATTAAGGTAAATGTAATGAAATTGTTTAATGCTGCAAATTCAGGAAAAATAAATAAATTTTATTACTAAAAATAATGATCGGTCAAGCAGCGCCGCTGAATTATCCTGCATTGCATATACCAAGCAACACTGTCCTCACTGTTCTTTAAAGAGCTCACGGCCGATTATCATTCTTCGAATTTCACTGGTTCCAGCTCCGATTTCATATAATTTGGCGTCCCGGAGAAGGCGACCGGTTGGATATTCGTTTACATAGCCATTCCCACCCAGACATTGAATTGCCTGAAACACAAACATGGTCACAAATCTTCGAATACATCATATTTAACATAACAGTATTTCTTATTGAACTGATACGAAATTTCACGGGAAGTTATAGACCTGAAGAGCAACTTGTGTGGCTCTTTCAGCTGCACAGAGTATCACACCAGCACAGTCCTGAAAGTCGTGCGTGTGAATCGAATTTGAAAAAAATAAATAAAACAGAGAGATAACGAAGATCGTCACATTATCACGCACACCTTTGGATTGATGTTTGCGCTGTCACAATCCCTTGCAACCGAGTACACATACGACCTGTAATTTATACCTTTCTTAGAATGTAAAATGGATAAATGTCAACTCTGCAAGTATTTTCGAGTCAGAATCATCCACCTTGAAGATTGTAATGATGTATACATATCAGCAACCTTTCCCTGCATTTAATAGAGTTAACAAGTTTTGTAAGGTTTCAATGAACGACTAGGGAATAAATTGCAGTCTACAGAAATATTTTTGTTCGAACCTGTATAAACTGAAACTCCCCAATCGGTTTGCCAAATTGTTCGCGCTGCTTAACATATGGAAGAACTTCATCGAGACATGCCTGCATGATTCCAAGGGGGCCTGCTGCCAAAACAAGCCTCTCCAGATCTAAACCCGACATCATGACATAAACTCCTGGTACACGTTTCGAATCAGAGACTTATCGAAGGAACTTTCGGATCATATAGAAACTCATGCTTCAATCAATTTTCGATCTAAAAAACAAAAAAACAGGAAGAAAACATTTCCAAGTTCAACAAAACTACTCGTGAACTAATAACTCTGATAAGACTCAAAACTGATATTAAAAATTCTCAAGCATATGCCTCCTAACCAGAAGAATGCCCCAAATAAATCGTACGAACTTTTACTAGCAACGAAGAATAAATATATTAAGATGTAAGAAGAAAATGCTGGATTACTATCGGTGGCTCCGGTTATATGCTGTCACAACAGAGGTAAATACCCAAATGGCGTCACAATATCAAACTCATGTTGCCATCATAAATACCTTTTCCTTCCTTTCCCAGAATGTTTTCTTCAGGAACAAAGCAATTTTCGAAAACAAGTTCACATCTGCAATATTTCGATACATAATACTCAGATATTTCTCTGCTTATGTAACAAAACACAGCTACGGAAAAGTAAAAACTACTGATTTTATAACACTCACGTATCACTTCCACGCATTCCCAGTTTGTCCAGTTTCTGTGCAGTACTAAAGCTGCATTAAACCAATCAGAGAAGAACCTTTGAGTCAGCCCATAACTGACAAACATACCATATGTTCGGCGTAAATATATTTTCATTCTCAAAATTTCCATCTCTAACCAAACAGAAGTATCAGCTGTCATTTGAGTAGCAGAGAAAAAGATATATTTCACCAGTTTTATTTCGATAATTTAAAGGTTATAACTATATGAACTTGCACGGATTTCGTCTGATGGATCTGTATTCTACAAAAATACACAATCTCAATCCAATAGCCTGGACCGAACGTCAAGCACTACTGTAAGACTGGTCATATATAACTTTTTTCAATATCAGAAAAGGAGCCATACCCGGGCATGCCCTTCTCTATGATAAAAGCTGTTATTCCTTTCGAGTGGGCTGACATATCTGTTTTGGCATAGACAACCTGATCCAATCTAAGTAAAATTGAGAAAATAATATTATGAATTCAGACTCAAATTATAGCGATAATTCTCAGTACAGCCACGAGAGTTTTACGTATTGGAGCATGTATGCAACGAATCAATGCATTTGAAGAGCACTAGTCGACCTCCTCAGCAGAGTATAGGATATCAAGATATATTCGAACTTTAGTGCTAAGGTAAGTTTTACAAAGTTTCCATCTATAAAACTTTTCTTCGAAATATTCTGGAAGATTTCAAACAAATTACTAGACCATACTATGCACATTATGCTGCTCCACTCGAAGTGTGTGTCAATTATATCAAAGTTCTAAATTTTTGGAAAACTACTTAAGACTTATAAAAACAAAATAATATGATACGTTCTTCAATATCATATATCTCATACATTTTTCAATAATAAAGAACAAAATCAAAATTACATCGAATTCGTCAGTGATCAAAATCACTTCTCTCTCCAATTTCTATTCTCACTATTCAAATAAAAATATAATATGATATTTTTACAAGATACTATACATATAGATGATTTATCATTAAAGCCTCTGTCACACTGATATTTCAAAGGCTTCAGAATAATTAAGAGAACTGATGTATCTATTTGGTAGATAAATTTTGATTTTGTTTCTAGGAAACACAGTCATGCCAAATGCATTAAAATACTTCGATAAACCAACAAAATTGAACATAAAATAAATAAATAAATTATTCATGAAATGCGCACCAGTGTTTGAGCAGTAGGACCATTTGTGCACCACATCTTATTTCCATTGAGAATGTAACCATCAGAAGTACGATCAGCTCTACATTTCATGCTAACGACATCCGAGCCAGCTAGGTATATAAACAAAGTTACTTAGCTCACAGTAAGTGAAAATTAACTGTGGTTTGTATGTACGAGAAGATTTAGGTGAAAAACATTACCATTAGGTTCACTCATAGCAAGAGCTCCGACATGCTCCCCAGAGATTAGCTTCATCCAAAATAATGACGAGCGAAAGATAGATCAGCACACAGGCATAAGTATACATAGGTATAATTTAAACGATATATCATGAAGTAAGAAGCCAAGCACGCAAACATAATATTGAGACGGTGAGACCAACTGTCACAGGAAGCAGTTGTAAAAAAAAAAAACAAAAAACAAAGAATGTATTAGCATTAGTATTTGATTAAATTGATCACCTTAAACGCTGCAATAATGTGACCCATAATCTTTCTCATCATAAGGTTTGTTGAAATATAAAATAAAAATAAAAATGATATAATCTCAACGCTCTGGGGAGAGTGATCAAATAAAGTTATCAGAACCTCTAAAAACTTTCAAACTCAACCAAAAAATAAAAAGATAAGAACTTAGATCGAGATAATCAAAATTGTGAATCCAATAGAACTTATGTAGAAGCTAACGGGAGAGGCGAATGTAAAAACCTTTGGCAAGTACTTTTGCTTCTGTGCAGGAGTTCCATTCCTCACCTTCAAATCATAAAATGTGTAAGGCTTAATAGATAGAACAAAAGCTCATTTGGAATTCAAACTTAACAGTAAGTAAATTACCAATTGATTGATGCATAGATTAGAATGTGCACCATAAGAAAGGCCAACAGCCCCTGATGCGCGGCTAATTTCCTCCATAGCTATGCAGTGGTACAAATATCCGAGGCCAAGTCCACCATACTCCTCTGTAACATCCAACTGAACGTTAGGTACACTTTACATGTTCCCAGTTGATGAAAAAACCCAAAAGAAACCGACAACAAGAGGACTGGCCATTCATAGCTGCTTTCACTAATAAACTTTTCATCTAATCATTATGAAATATGCATAATAACTCATTAAATCTGTGTTGGAACACATTACTGCATTGGAAGAATCCTTAGATATTTACTTTGTTAGTTTCGAAGATAACAAGATCATTTTTTGCTTCCAAAATCAATTATAGAATTAGATGGCAAATTAATTATTACCTGGAGCAGTGATTCCATGGAGGCTAAAATCCCCCATCAATTTCCACAAATTCACATCCTGGAAGGGTTAAAAAAGTTCAAGAAATCACGTTTCAACGAAATCATGCTTCATACAATGATGTGAAACAGGACTATATCACACAACCTGTGGAAAATTATTCGATCTGTCTATTTTCGAGGCATGTGGAGCAATGTTTTCTCGAGCAAACTGAGCAACACTTTCTTTAAACTGCCAAAATTGCAATGAAATCAATCTTAAAGAGCAAGTGGAGTTGTAAGAAGATCCCAACCTCGAATGCAACTAAAGGAGGCAATTATGCACTCCCCTGTTTCGTCTAAATAAAATTTCAAACAGAGTATCAAGTCATTCCTACAATTATATCACAATATCCAAGCAGCTTCTAGCCAAAATATATGTCCATTCCTTCAAGGTGTAAGAGTATTTGTTTACATTTTTCGAGTACATTTTTCGCACTATGTATCCTATAACAAAATATCTTTCCTTTCTAAACTTCATCACATCCAACAATACAATTGGTTTACATGTTTTCTCTATTTTGACACTATAAATTAAAAACAAAAAATCATATCATATTGGACGCTGTTTTTCATTTAAAATCACATAAAAAAGTCAAAATAAACTATCTATTTAATACACTTCTAGAAATTTTGACAACATTCATCAAAATTAATATTTTTCAAAAACTATCATATCAAATACTTACATCCTCTTATAAAACAAGAAATCAAATACTTAAATTTTTACTATTTTCAAAATTTTCCGAAACTTAAATGATCAAATACCTATGGTTGTGCTTGTTTGGGGAATTACAGGGAGGGATTTTTCACGACTCAACTAATTTTCTTAAAAAAAATGCGTAGAATCAATCAACTATTTTAATTCAAAATTTTACTGGCGAAACCACAAAACACCAAATAAACACACCCTATATTTTATTCAATTTATTTTACTATTTTCAAATCTCTCCGAAGCTTTTCCAAAACATATCTTCAACTCAAATTTTTGCATAAAGCACAGTTTGCAACCTCAGAATCACTATTTTATAATAACAATAATAATAATTAAACTTTTTTAAGAATCTCCCGCCATGATATTGCTTGTCTTCAAGGGGTAAACAATTAGAAACCTAACAATTCTACACTCTCACCGAACAGAACCCCCAACCAAGCGAAACTCAAAGAACCGAACAATCCCATCGCTATTGCAAAAAGCAAGCAGCAAAGATCAATTAACCAGAAACTTACTTAATCTTAAGAATTCCAGCAAAACCATAAACCCAATCCAACACAAAACCAATCAAAACATAAACATAAACATTAACATAAACAGACGTTCGACCGCACAGGACAAAATTACGAAAAATACCTGCTTCTGAGTATCATCGAATAGAAGAGAAGTAGAGAAAGCAGCAGCAGCGGATTGGCGCTTGATTAGCGAAGCAGTGAGGGGTCTCAGCGCAAACAATCTCTGCATCTTCTTCTTGGAAGAGTTGGAGAGAAAGAAGAGCGAACACGCAACAGAAGGCAGAAGGCAGGGAATGATCAGGAGGGGGCGGGCGGGTCTCGTCTCTAGGGGTTGGAAAAAATATACATAATTGCCGCATATATAAGACCCAAAAATACCGAACGAATACATATTCGTTATCTAAATTGAAATGTTTGTATATATCCAAATATGGTGTGTTTGGTTGAAGGATTGCGGGGAAATTTACTATTCACACCCATATTTTTTAAAAAAAAAATATATAAAATCAAATATTTATTTTTTATTTTTTAAAGTTTATAACTAATTAATTTAATTAAAATTAAAAATTAAATTACAAAATTAAAATGAGATTAAAAGTGTATAATATTTTTTCAAACAAGAAAATGACATGGATGTAAGATGACAGAAACTGGAACGTGAATATGGTAAATGAAACCAATAAAATATGTTGCCATTTATCACCGGTTGATTTTATGTTGAAAGTCAAAATCCCACGTTAACAATACTAAAAAATTAAATTTATATTCAAAATATCAAATTAATATTTATTTATATCATATTATACCATTGTTCAGTCTCAATTTTTTATATCAAAATTGGTATATATCAAATTTTGGTTATAATATTGATATATGAGTAACTCTCCAATGGTGCGCAATCAGACTTTTATCTATTATTGGATGATCTGGGCGTTCGGTCTTATCACTTAGTAATAAATCTACTTTAGACCCAACCCCACTTTAATTCAGCAATTAATCTAATTTGTTTGGCGCTGTCTGATAATTATTATTTATAGAAAAATGATCGGGTGGATTTGTTTAGGGTATATTTGTTCGGAATTTAAATTTTGAGTTGGAATTTGAATGATATAAATATTTTGAATGAAAAATTGATTTTTAGTATAATATAAAAAATAAAAAATAAATATTTGATTTACGAGGAAAATTTTTGGACGAATAGTGTATTTAGGGGAAAATCCCCAAAACAAACACACCCTATAATATTTTTATTTAATATTTAATAAATAAAATAATGTATTTTTATTGATATTGTGTATGGATATATTAGACTCGGAGAAAATTATTACAATTCAAAAATCGGATGTCTGATAATTATTATTCATAGAAAAATGATCGGGTGTGTTTGTTTAGTGGTTTGGAGTGTATTTTGAATTTGAGTTTGATTTTGGAACGGATTAAATAATATTTTTATTTAATATTTTATATTTGAATTTGATTTTGGAGCGGGTTAAATAATATTTTATATTTGAATTTGATTTTGGAGCCGGTTAAATAATATTTTTATTTCATATTTTATAAATAAAAAATAATGTATTTTATTAATATTGTGTATAGATAAATTAGACTTAAAAAAATAGTTACAATTCGAAAATTGGATTCAAATTCAGAGAAAAAAAAAAATTGTCTTTGAACTTTTTAAAAAATAGGTCCTAAAAAATTCGAGCCGATTGTAAAAATTTTGACTTTTAAATCTTATGTTTATGCGCGAATTGATTGAAACTATTGTTATAATACAAATTGAGAACTAAATTGCAATATCAAATTTAATTTTGGAGTCTTAATTATCTAAAACAAACATGGAGATTTTCTTATAATATGTGTCTAAAATATTTTTAATTAATTACTTATTAATTAGAATTTAATTAGCAATTAAAGGTAATTAGTATTTCATCCGTTTCATCTTAATAGATATTTTTTTCTTCATTTTTGTTTGTTCCCATAATAATTGACACATTTTTATTTTTGGTAAAATTTATTATATCAAAACATATTTAACAAATATAAATCAATTTAATGAACTATATAACATATAATATTGAGGACGGTTAGAGTGCTTATCAGGGTTAATAGGGCTAATTAGTACCATGCTCATTAGCCCTAATCCGTCCTATTAGGGAATTTATCCAACGGTGACGATTTCTGAAAGGGATAAAATAGTAATTTTCAATTCATATATAACAACACACAATCTATTCATTCAATTAAAGCGATTTCTTCTATAATATTTCAAGTTCCTTCTTTGATCAGATTTGACTTTGATTCATGGAAGAGCAACACATTAATCATGAGCAACTACAAACCGAAGAAAGAGAAGCAAGTGTAATCAGTCAGAAACGCAATCATATTATGGAAGAGCACAGAGAAACGAGTTCGTACTTGATCATGAAATAAGAAATGACCGAAAGAGAAGAAACCGTTACCAGACAAAAAGTCGATTTCGTCGTTGAAGAACAACATGATATTATTGAAGAGCAGCCATCAATATCCATCAACAATGATCATTGTGACAATACTGATGAAGGAAATCACGAATCATGTACTGAAAAATTCAACTCTACAAATTAAATTCTTCGCAATGTGTTTCCAAAAAATCATATACTTTGGATGGATCATAATTACATAACACGTACTATATTAATGAAAATCACACAAAAAGAATCATTTAGCACATGATTTACTGTATTTTATCACAAAAGTAATTTTTACTAAATGTAACATAATATATATAGAGCACGTATCATACTGAAAATAATCACACTAATGTAAGATAAATAGCACACGAGAGAGTGTAACTTATCACCTATAAACTCTCTTCATTTTGAATTATTATCTAAAAGAATAATTTTCAAGATTAATTACATGTAACAATACATACATAGCACATAATATGCTATAAAAAAATCACACTAAAAGCACACGGTTAACTGTGAACCATAAGAGGATTTTTCCATTATATTTAGCATAACATATAAATACAACACATCCTACATCCTATAAAATCACATTAATTACACTAAAATAGCACGCAACTCAATCTAAGTGTACTTAGCAAACTAAGGAAATGTATTTAGCACATAGACAACTGTAAATTCTCTTAAAATTATGGTGTAAATTTAATTAATGTAACAAAACATATATAGCACATAATATATTAGGAAAAATCACACTAAAAGAACATATTTAGCACATGGACATTTGTCAATTGTAAGAGCATGTGCAACATGCGGTAAAAAATCACATTAATTACAATAAATTAGGACACAACATAATATTAAAACATTACAAAAGAGACATTTTTCTAAAAGAAACACATGTTGTGTATAATAAAGACAAGTATTGTTCGTTCATAATTATAAATATGTCTGTAGTAATATTGTGTGCTATCTGACAGCATACCATGTGCTGAATTTTAAAATGTACTTAGCACACTAAAATGATGTATTTGCCACATGAATAAGTGTAAATTATAAGAGGAAATTTTCATATGGAACACTTTGAAATTTTGTGTTTTCTCTCTAAAAATTTACAGGTATAGAAAACATAACAAATATGAAATTCAATACACCTGCTGATGCTTATCAATTTTATTATGATTATGCACACTACAAAGGCTTCAGTGTAAGAATTAAGATGCAGAGAAAAAATAAGAAGAAACCTGCAAAACTCAAATACTTGGAGTACTATTGCAATAAAGAGAGCACCGTTAGGGAAGTAAGTTGGCTGCAGATAAAAATGAAAAATCAACTGAAGTTAAATATTTCTCAAAAGAAAATCACAAGCAGGACAAAGCATGAAACGAGGGTTGGATGTGTTGCAAGATTGAAATTGCAATTAGATATAGTGTCTGAAATATACAATGTTACCTTCTTTGATGACAATCATAATCATGAGTTACACAAACCAGAGCACAAGCATATGATTAGCTCAAACAGAAGATTGAATGAATCTGATGTCATTACAGCAAAGATGAATCATGAAGCAGGGATCCCATTGAGAAACAATTTTGATCTTACAAAAATAGTTGCGGGGGAGGCAAAATGTAGGTTTCCTTAAGACAGATCTTAAAAACCAAATGAAAAAGCAAAGAGATACTGCAGTAAAGGGAGGAGAAGCAAATGCACTACTGAAATACTTTAGTCAAAGATCAATAGACAATCCATATTTCTTCTATGAAATTGAAGTTGATGCAGATGAGAGAATAGCAAACATCTTTTGGTCCAATGCTCAGATGAGAATAGGCTACTCATTTTTTGGTGATGCTATAACATTTGATACAACATGCCAAACAAACAAGAATTGCCGACCGTTTGGTAGGAAACAACACTTCATACTTCTTTACAAACAATATATATCTGATTAATTTTCTAATGATTTCTACGTGTATTTGTGGGATTCAACCACCATAGACAAACATGTGTGTTTGGCGCAGCACTATTATATGAAGAAACAAATGAATCTTTCCATTGGTTGTTTGCAACATTTTTAAAGTGTATGAATGGACGGGAACCAATGACTATATTCACAGATCAAGATTTGACAATGGCACCAGCAATAAAAAGTGCAATGCCAAACACACATCATGCTCTGTGTACATGGCATATCATGCAAACTGAGAAGAAAAATTTAAGTTCACTCTATGATGGAAGGTTTGTTTTCATGCTCTGGGTTAGTTACTTAGCATTCACTATTTACATATTTATGTAACTAAATAACTATCTAATTTTTTTTTTTTTTTTTTATAATTGTAACAGGTTTTCTGAAAATTTTCACAAATTAATGTATGTTGTTTGAGATGAAAATGAATTTGATTTAGTATGGAGAAATATGTCAGAGACTTGCTTCCCTAATGGTATTCATAGATGGCTTCTAAATATCTATGATCTAAAGCAACATTGGTTTTCAGCGTGGACAACATCAATTTTCACAGCTGGAATAAGAAGTACACAACTTAGTGAATCTCTAAACAGCTCTTTTAAAAGGTTTCTTTTTATGCCCTGATCTACTTTATTTTTTTGTTTTATATATATTGAAATTCATATTATACATGTTATTACTCTTCTAATGCTCGCTTACTTATACAATAATATGTGCTTTCTGTAGATTCTTACAATCAGACAAAAAAATTATTGATTTTTTCCAATAGTTTGAAAAGGTTCTAGACAATATTAGGAAATTAGAACTTCAACAAGACTTTTTTTTTTTTTTTTTATCAAATATGTACGCTTCATTTTTCTTTCATACATCTTTAAATCCGACAGACAACAAACAACGTTGTTCTTTTTCAAAATAGAATAAAAAAC